CATCAAGTTTGCATTCTAGTTTGGGAAAGAGACAATTAAAACAAAAACAAAAAACAAAAATAAGAAACCTAAACCCAACATTTATAATGTCAGGAGATAAAAAGATTAGGACTCTCTGAGGTGATATTTGAGTCAAGAACTGAGTGAGATGTATGGAAACATAAATACAGAGAATTGTATTCACTCATGAATTAGGAAATCTGAGTTCTAGTCCCAGCTTTAAACTTTTCTAGTTGGGTGACCTGGAAAAATTTTAAACTCACTGGGCTTCCCGCTGGCTGTTATACATAGGCCTAAGAACCTTGCTCAAAGTGGGTGCTCAACACATATGGTGGGTGATTAGATGAGTATTAGTTACCAAATTATATTTAAGCAAGCACATTTTTTCCAGTAGTTCAAATGCCACAACTGTTAGGATCCCTTGTGTGATGATGCTAGAGTTTCCTTATTCTGAAAGCACATCTCCCACCCTCACACTGCCCCCTACTAGTGTTACTGTGTCCATCTTTTTACCAAAAGCTACCTTTTGGCTATATTCACTTTGAATCCAAAATCTGACAGTGCTCTTTCCAAATGATAATAACTGACACAGCTACCAATTACCGATTCCCTACAACGTGTCAATGGTGGCAGCCACTTCACAAAGATCAAAACAACCTTATAAGATAGCACTGATCACTGTATCTCCAGGGCCCAACACAATGCCTGTCATATCAACATCTGAATAAATGAGTCTCAGAAAAGTCAGAAAGTGTCTCTAAGGTAAATGAGAAAATCTGTTAACAGAAAAGAATTTGAAGCTAGCCATGCCTAACAAGATGGCTCATGTCATGCCACTCAAAAGGAAAAAGTAGAGTCCTCATTATAAAATCTAGATGGAGATTTTATTTTTTAATTTAAATTTTAATCTTTTTTTGAGACAGAGTCTCACTCTTTTACCCAGGCTGGAGTGCAGTGGCACCATCTCAGCTCACTGCAACCTCCGCCCCCTAGGTTCAAGCGATTCTCCTGCCTCAGCCTCCCGGGTAGCTGGCATTACAGGGGCACACCACCAGGCCCTGCTAATTTTCATATTTATAGTAGAGACAGGGTTTTACCATGTTGGCCAGGCTGGTCTTGAACTCCTGGCCTCAAGCAATCCACCCACCGTGTCCTCCCAAAATGCTGAGATTACAGACATGAGCCACCGCATCCAGCCAGATGGAGATTTTATATGAAAAAAAAAAAAAAAAATCTAAAAGAAAAACCACCAAGGACTCAAGATTGATTACACAAAGCCCAAAGTAGTTAGGCCAGAACAGGGCTTTGGTATGGAGCCACCAGAAAGAAACCAATTGCAGGATCCTTGCAGCTGGAGGCAGATCTTTGGCAGAATATTTGAAAGGGAAGTAAGGCATCCTCTACAAGACAATGAAGTGATGAACAAATATGTAAGCAGCAACTTATGATAAGATTTGATATACAAGTGATAACATGACCAAATCAAAGAAAAAGAACATGGAATGCTTTAATAACCGGTATAAACTGGACAATGAAAATAGAGAAATTCTTGAGGAGAAAAATATAATTTTACACTTACGCCTATATTAGCTGTATCAGTGGTCCCCAACCTTTCTGGCACCAAGGACCAGTTTTGTGGAAGACAATTTTTCCACAGACCATGCAGGGGAGATAGTTGTGGGATGAAACTGTTTGACCTCAGATCATCAGGCATTAGATTCTCAGCAGGTGCTTGCAAACTAAATCTTTGCATGTGTAGTTCATAATAGGGTTCATGCTCCTATGGGAATCTAATGGCACTGCTGATCTGACAGAAGGTGGAGCTCAGGTGGTAATTCTTGCTTGCATGCCACTCACCACCCGCTGTGCAGCCCGGTTCCTGACAGGTCATGGACTGGTACCTGTCCATGGCCCAGGGGTTAGGGACCCCTGAGATATACGGCAAAATGAAACCAGACTGGCCACTCCCAACTAATTTTGTTATTTTTCATCTCATACAATCTCAAGAATTCCTCTAGATATTCTAAGAATTTACCTGGACGAGATGGTCTAAATTATCATAGCCACGACTGAACAAATCAAAATAACCAGAACCCTGGAAGAATGTTTCAGCAAGGATGCTTTCTCTCTGAATATCCAAAACATTGCAATACAGTCTTTAAAAGTTGTTGAGATGATACAAGGTTTGTAAAGAACCTAGTTAAATGCTTAGCACACAGGAGATGACATACATTAGTTTTTCCCCTTCCTCATTCTGGAATGGGGGTTGTTTCCACTTTGTGGCTATTATAAATAATGTGGCTATGGAAATGTGTGCACAGGTTTTTATGTGGATATATATTTTCATTTCCCTTGGGTATACACCCGGGAGTGAAATTGCTGGATCATATGGTAACTCTACATTTAACCATGTGAAGAAATACCAGACTTTTTCCAAAGTGGCTGCCCCATTTTATATTCCTACCAGCATGTTATGAGAATTCCAATTTTCTCCACATCCTCATCAATACTAGTTATTATCTTTTTGATTGCAGACATTATATCGGGTGTGAAGTGGTATCTTGTGGTTTTGATTTGCTTTTTCCTGAATGACTAACAGTACTGATAATTTTTAAATGGGCTTACTGGCCATGTGTATTTCTTCTTTGGAGAAATGCTTGTTATTTTGCTCATTTTAAAGTTGTCTTTTCATAATTGAGTTATGAGTTCTTCATATAAGTCCCTCTAAGATACAAGTCCCTTATCACATTTATGATTGGCAAATATTTTCTCCAATTCTGTAAGCTGTCTTTTCACTTTCTTGATTGTGTCATTTCAAGCAAGTTTTTTGTTTTGATGAAGTCCAGTTCGTGTATTTTCTTTTGTTGCCTATGCTTTTGGTATATTTAAGAAATCCTTGCCTAATTCAAAGTCACCAAGATTTATGTCTATAAAAGATTTACGTTTTCTTCTAAGAGTTTTATAGCTTTAGCTCTTACATTTAGGTCTTTGATCCATTTTGTTTTTAAATATGATGTGAAGTAGGAATCAAATGTCATTCTTTTCTACGTAGATAATCCAATAGATCCAAAAGACAGTTGGTTCAGACTGTTTTGTTTTCCTATTGAATTGTCTTGGCAGTCTGGTTTAAAATCAACTGACCATAAATGTGAGGGCTTATTTCTGAACTCTCAATTCTATGCCATTGATCTGTATTGACCTATAGATCTACCTTTACACCAGCACAACACATTCTTCATTACTGTAGTTTTTACACTTAAAATCAGGAGAGTCAAAATTTTTCAAGATTCTTCTTAATAGTCTGTGTTCCTGAAATTTCCATATGAATTTTAGAATCAGAGAAGAAAGCAGCTGGAACTAACGGGAATTACATTTAACCTGTAGATCAGTTTGGGGAGTACTGTCATCTTATATCTTCTGATTCATGAACATGGAATGTATTTCCATTTATTTAGAGGCGTACAGAAATACAAGTGAGGCCGGGTATGGTGGCTCACACTTGTAATCCCAGCACTCTGGGAGGCTGAGGTTGGTGGATCACTTGAGACCAGAAGTTCATTACTAGCCTGGCCAACATGGCAAAATCCCATCTCTATTAAAAATACAAAAATTAGCTGGGCATGGAGGCACATGCCTGTTAATCCCAGCTACTCAGGTGGCTGAGGCACAAGAATCATGTGAACCTGGGAGGCAGAGGGTCCCATGAGCCAAGATGGGGCTACTACATCCCAGTCTGGACCACAGAGCGAGACTCTGTCTCAAACAAACAAACAACAAACAAACCCAAGGATCATTGCACATTGGTCTTGTATTCTGCAACCTTGCTGAACTCACTTTATCAGTTTTAATAGTTTTCTAGTGAATTCCTTAGTATTTCTGATACATACAATCTTGTCATCTGCAGAGACAATTTTCCTTTTTTTCTTTTAAATCTTGATGCCTCTCTAGAATTTTTCAGTGCTACCTAAATTAATGCAAGATTTAATATTTGATGGTATCAAAGTCAATACTGCATAGATTCAAAATAAAAGGGGGAAAAGTGCTATAGAAGGAAAAAACAAAAAAAAATTTAAAAATAGCAGGCAAGAAAACTGATTCCCACAGGATTATTACTTAGCTAGGTAATCCTGGGCAAGTTTCTAATATTTTTGGTTATACATCTGATTTTCCAAATCTTTTTCCAGTTTATGTACCTGCGAACTTCTGAGGATACATAAGAAGTTACTTTGCTCAGTTTATTCAGCCATTACAAGCATGATTTTTACTAAATATATTGACATCTTCTCTCCTTTTCTATTTTTGTCCCTCAAAAAGGAGATTAAGACACCAAAAGTGAAAAAGCACACCAAAGGTATCTTCATAATGAGGGAGAATCTAATTCTTAGGAAAGAGAATTAAAATCTAACTCTTAGGAAAGAGAGAACCTTGAGAGGCCTTCAAGGTAGAAGAGCACACTAAAGGTATCTTCACATTGAGGGAGAATATAACTCTTAGGAAAGAGAGTTATAATGGAAGACCTTGCAAGGCCTTGAAAGAATGCAGAGAATTATAAAGAATTATCCTCTTGGGAACAAGCTGGAATTTAAATAAATACTTTAGAGGCTTGTGGAAGAAAAAGCAAAACTGAGCAAACGGATGAAGCATTTACTTTGTCAAGTACTATACTAGTTATTTTAAAACTACAATTAAGGAACAGTAAGGACAGAAGGATGACAAAAATGTATTTTTTGGGGGGGGACGGAGTTTCGCTCTTGTTACCCAGGCTAGAGTGCAATGGCGCGATTTCGGCTCACCGCAACCTCCGCCTCCTGGGTTCAGGCAATTCTCCTGCCTCAGCCTCCTGAGTAGCTGGGATTACAGGCACGCGCCACCATGCCCAGCTAATTTTTTGTATTTTTAGTAGAGACGGGGTTTCACCGTGTTGACCAGGATGGTCTCGATCTCTTGACCTCGTGATCCACCCGCCTCAGCCTCCCAAAGTGCTGGGATTACAGTATTTTAAAAATATATATTATCTGAAGTTTTCAATACAGAGGATCTTTTAAAACCGGTTTTAGTTAACATTTTAAAAATTACAATTTTGATTAAAATGGCAACTGTTTCATGACATACAGAACCACATTAAATTTTTACTATGCATTAACTAGATACCTTCCCTCTGTCTCTGCTATTGCTGATAGCACTAAAATAATAATTTATACTTAAATGTTTTAAATTCCTTTCAAGTGCTTTGGAATCTTAGTTTTAATCTCTGGCGTAAAGGAAGAGGACTATCCAAACAAGTACCAGAGTTGTTTTCTTTATGACACTCTAGAGAACTCAGAGAACTTTTTGCTGAATCTGGGAAACAGCTTTCTTCATTCTCAGCTGTTTTATAAGCTCTGACACACTGTTCAGTTTCTTTAATATGTATTTTAGGGCTACTCAACTTGTTGTGGCCACTTTCTTTGAATTGGGATGAATTATGCTTTTGAGAACTGTGCTTCATTCTTTGAGTTGTGTACTTAGCTTTTCCAAACACTGGAGCACTTTCTTCATCAGAGGAATGTCTGTCAAGGCAAACACTCTTCTTCATTAAAATTTTCTGAGTGGTTTGCATATCAATTTTTCTACTATAATCTAATGCAGCATTTGGTGATCTAACACTGCAGGTCTTTTCTGTTGTGTTACTGATAGAATAAGGTACAGAAGTATAGACTTTATAGTCTTCCTGAAGCAGCTCATCTTCTTTTAGAACTTTAGAGTCTCCGGATTCATTTTGCAAGGAAATTCCCGGAAGATCCTTTGAAAGATGTGATGCACAATCAGAACCACTGTTAGCAATACAACATTCTTTCACACTAAGTTTGGACAAAGTTTTCAGGTTGACATCTGGTTGCAGATTATCCTGAGTATATAATGATTTTATAAATATTCGTTCCTTTAAAGGCAAATCCTGAAGACATAAATCAGTAATACCAGAAAGCAGATGCTCTTCAGGACTAATTATATCAGAATCCTCATCCAATACTTTATTTATATTTGCAGTATACCTTTCTGATTCACATGGCAGTTGTTCTGGGATATTTTCAAAGCCACCAGGGATAGCTGATAGCTCTGATTCAACTTCTGATTTTAAACCTTGAGAGAAAGTATTCCTTTGAATCACTGGAGAATTACTAAAAGAAGTACCTTCCCAGTCAATGGTGCTCAAGTGGAGATCGGTAATCACGGATATATTATGACATGAGGTCCCAGGTTGACTTGATTCTGAAATTAGAGACTTAGTGACAGCCTTAATTTGCTGTATAGCCAAAGGTCTTGGAGAAGACATGAATTGTTCTTGTGCATTCAAACATGGAGCATTTTTAGGTAAAAGCAAGCTATGCAATGAGGCAGAAATAGATTCCTGTGGTAATGTAGGTTCAGGTGAAATTCCCAAATTTAACTTGGAATTCTGCTTGTGAAAGATTTCACTTGTGGGTTTTAAAGTCATGTGTGACTGAAAGCTCATTACATCATCTGGTTCTGGCAAATTGTTTTCTTTAGGCTTAATACCTGAAAAAAAAAAAAAAAAAAAAAAAAAAAAAAAAAAAAAAAATATATATATATATATATATATATGTATATAAAATCAACATTTATTTTGCTTTAACTTGGGTAAAAAAAACAGTTCAGATGAAAAATCTATATAAACAGTTTTTGACTTTTTTTTGTCTCAGTGAATTCCTAGAAATATTATAAAATATTTCCCTCTAAAAACAATGTTATAATTTAGTTGTTTTCCTCACTGAGTTCTGGGAAAGGAAAATGTATTTAAAACCCCAAATATGCTATACATAGTAGTTGCTCAATAATTGGTCAGTATAATTATTATTATTAACACTTGGCTAATTTAGTAGACAGAGCAGAATGATTTATTCCTGGCTTTTCGGCTTTAAAAGAAAAGTACCTGAAGACAAGGAGGAATACAGTTCTTGACTCTTGATTTTATAGATTCTTCAGTATAATTCAGACAGAATAGATTCAAACAGAAGAGGTGACTCCTATAACATTTGCATGTGGCATAAATAGCTATCAAACACAAAACTTACCTTTTTGTTTCTTCCCTTTAATTTCTAATTTTTGTTTTTGGTAAATAGCAACGATCTCAGGATAGGCTGCTTCAAACAATGCTTCTTCTTCAATTGTTAGTAGAGCAAATTCTCCATGTTGTTTATCTTCCATTGCATAATGTTCTAAAATATCAAAAATACAGCAAAGCATCCTTAATTACACATTTTAAAAAATTCAGTATTTCCATGTAATTAAGTTTACCAGGTAAAATAAGTTATTCACAAATGGAATATTCACTGCAAATCTTGCTTTATAACACCTAGATTCTAACAATCTGTTGATAGCAGTACAAAATTTATTTACTTATGTTTTGCCTGGTAAGAGCTGGAAGGAGATTCTTCCTAAATTAGAATTTTAAATCCTCTTTATTTCAGAGATGGTAGCAGCAGCTGAAAGAATACTTTGTTTAGAAAAGGTTGGTTGGTTTAATTCAGTTAAGTAAGTGTTAAAATTCCAGGTAAGAATAAAAAAAATTCCTAAAACTCAACATCAGCTTTCTTTAGTGATGACTTCTGAAATGAACACAATTGAAAGGGTCATCAAAAGTATTACTACTTTCCAGGCTGGGCGCAGTGGCTCAAGCCTGTAATCCCAGCACTTTTCGAGGCCAAGGGGGGTGGAACACCTGAGGTCAGGTGTTCGAGACCAGCCTGGCTAACATGGTGAAGCCCCATCTCTACAAAAAATACAAAAATTAGCCAGGTGTGGTGGCAGGTGCCTATAATTCCAGCTACTTGGGAGGCTGAGGCAGGAGAGTTACTTGAACTCAGGAGGCAAAGATGGCAGTGAGTCGAGATGGTACCAGTGCACTCTCTAGCCTGGGCAACAGAGCGAGAGACTGTCTCAAAAAAAAAAAAAAAGTATTACTACTTTCCAGATTGTTGTTTCAGAGGGTATCACTGTCTCAAGCCCAAACTAACTGGACTTACAAGCAATTAATAAATAAAAATAAAAATGTTCATATGTAAATTTACAATACAGTGTATATATAAACAGTGCACTAGATTCTTATGTTTATTTTCTATGTGGGCAAAACCACAAAATAAGCCAAATTATAAAGAAATGCTGATAAGTTTAAAGCAGAAACAAAGACAGTAAGTGATCTTAAACTAGCTTGAGGTGCATTTTCTCCCATAATAGCTCCCACAAGGATCAGTGAAAATGGGTATCTGACCCTCAGTTCTTGACAGGAGAGATGCATTGCCAAACTGAATTAATATCATGCTCTTTCCTGAAAATATACTAGTTGGCGTAACTGTTCCTAAATACTTTTTAAAATTATTCAGCATTCTATTTTCCTCTAATTGCTTGGAATCGTTTATCTAATTGTTTATAATTTCATTCTTCAACGTTACCTACAGCTTAAAGTTTCATTGGGCAAATCTATTCTCTCAAATATGATCATACAATCTAATTTCAAAGCCAAAACAGAAATCAACTTGGTGTCATTTTCCATTTTAAAGTATCTGTGTTTCACTATCTCCAGTATCGGAGCTAATTCAGAGTTCACTGTATTTCTGTCTATAGCAAAAATAAGAATAATTTGACAATGAAAAATTCCCAATGAAAACTAAGCAGGGTAATAAAAGGAAAGGAAGTATACCCCAGGGGATATTTTACCAATCTTAATTTTTTCAGATGTAATATACATGAAATTGAATGACCAGATTATTTGTAAAAGCATTTATTTGAGAAATATCAATAAAAACTATTTCAGTATTACTATTTTAGTAATATTACAAAAGAAATGTAAAATTAAGACATTACAACAAAATAAAAGTTTATCATATTTACTGTTAGTCAAAACCTATCTAAAATAACACAGGCAAACTATGAAATCAATCTGTGGTGCATGTAATGGGTTTTATCTTTATTTTTCACACACATTGAATACATATACATATACAATATTTACTAGACATACATGGTCAAATGTTATAAATCGAGCATTTTGCTTAAAGTGAATACATACCAGGCTTTTCCCATTCTATTTCAAAACAATGAACTCCATTTCTGATTCGGGTCTTAACAATTCTGAAAAATAAATTCATTTAATGAAGTATTAATTGCATAAGTTATTTGGAAATTTTCAATTTGTAACCTGAATAATTTCCATAGATTTTTTTTTTCCAGGTAAAAATATTTTAAGGAATTACTGGCTAGTTATTCCTTTGACTAGTTATTTAAAAGATAATATTGTTAGGTACATAGAGTTTATTATTGTTAAATCTTCTAGGTAGGTTGTTCCTTTCCTTATTATTCAATGTTCCTCATCTCCACAATAATGATTTTTGTTTTAAAGTTTGTTATATTACTTTGATAAGTACAGTATTTGCCTACTAAGCCTTCTTAAATCTCTTTATTTTCAAGCTCTGTATTATTCTACATGTACCTTATAAGCTGAATATTGCTGAATTTTATTTTCTTATCCAATATAATGTCTTTAAATAGGTGAGATTAATCTGCTTACATTATTTGTGATTCCTGATATAGCTGCTGGATTCATTCATGCATCTTATTTTGTGTTTCCTGTCACCAGCTTTTTCTTTGCTACTTCTACCTTCCTTCTTCCAGTATTCTTTTGGTTTGATAGTTTGACTTTCTTATTTTAACTGTGCTGGTTTGAAAGGTATTTTATTTCTAGCAGGTACTCTTAAGTGTTTGAATGCATACTTTGGGATTTTTGGCTTATCATCAGCAGCATCATGTATTAATCACTAAATATTATACAAATATTTATATACATTTTTTTCTAGTTAGTTTATTAAATTATCCAAATATATTTTAATCAATTCCTGAGCTGACCACTGTTTCTTGTAATTTACATCTTCCCTTTGTGTACATTTTTTTTTCTTGCTGAAATTTATCCTTTAACAACACTTAAAAACAATCATTATATTTTGTTTGTTTTGAGTCTTGCTGTATTTGCCCAGGCTGGAGTGCAGTGGTGCCATCTCAGCTTACTGTAACCTCTGCCTCTTGAGTTCAAGAGATTCTCGTGCCTCAGCCTCCGAGGTAGATGGGATTACGATGCCCAGCTAATGTTTTATATTTGCAGTAGGAGGAGTTTTCGCTGTGTTGGCCAAATTGGTCTAGAACCCCTGGTCTCAAGTGATCCACCTGCTTTGGCCTCCCAAAGTGATTGGATTACAGGGGTGAGCCACCATCCCAGCCCTTTAACAGCACTTTTAAGGAAAGTTTATGAGTGGTAAACTCTAGTCTTCATGTTTAAAAATGCTTCCTATGAATAATGTTTTAATAATTTCAAGGTTGTAAATTATTTTTGCTCGGTACTTTGAAACATCACTCCTGCATCTTCTGTCATCTATTACTGTTATCAAAGATGTGTGCTACCAGATGGTTTATCTTTTTTCTTTGCTATTTCCCAGCAAACTTTATTCTGAAAAATGTCAAACCTTCATAAAGGTTACAAAAATAGTACCATGAATACTCACATACTTGTACTGAGATTCAATTGTTAATTTGCAAGTTAGTTGCAAACATGTCTCATGGCACATCACCCCTACAGCCTATCTATGTAGAGCATTTTCCTACATTGCCACAAACAACTATCATACTCTGAAAGTTTAACACTAATACAATACACAGACCATATTCAAATTTCTCTGATTGTCCTAAAAAAAGGTCCTTTATGACTTAAAAACAATTCAGAATTCAATCAAGATCATAACATTTTTCTCGAATTGTGTTGTCTCTTTATTCTAATCCAGAAACTCTCTATATTTTTTTGTTTTAGTTTCGAAGAGTCCAGGATAATAGCTCCACAGAATGTTCCTCACTTGGATTCATTAGATTGTTTTCTCATAATTAGATTCAGATTACACTTTTTTTTTCTTTTTTTTTGGAGACAGGGTCTCACTCTGTCACCCAGGTTGGAATGCAGTGGTGCAATCTCAGCTCACTGTAACCTCCACCTCCCAGGCTCACGCAATCCTCCCAACTCAGCCTTCCAAGTAGCTGGGATCACAGGTGCTCTCCACCATGCCTGGCTAATTTTTTTTATTTTTGGAAGAGATGGGTCTTGAACTCCTGAGCTTAGTCAATCCACCAGCCTCAGCCTCCCAAAGTACTGGGATTACAGGTGTGAGCCACCATGCCCTGCCTAGATCAAACTTTTTGGGCAAAAATATTATATGATAATGTGGTATCTTTCTCAGTTTAACATATTAGAAAGCACATGATATCAGTCTACTGTCCTTTTATTGGTAATTAATCATTTGGTTAAACTCATGTCCACTGGATTTCTCCATTTATGAAGATATCATTTTTCCTTTGTAATTAATCTGTAGAGTGGTATTTGAGATTGTGTCTACTCTTTCTCTCCAGCAATCTTTCATCTAATGGTTTTAATATCCATTGATGATTGCTGCCTGATTGGTTTGGTACTTTTTAAGATATTCCTTTTATCCTTGATGTCTGCAATATGCCTTGGGTATTTTATCTATTGTGCTTTAATTTGGAGTATAACTTTATCTGTTTTAAATATTGGAAAACTCTCAGAGATGATTTCTTCAAAATTATTTTCACCTTTTATTAGCTTCTAGGAATTAATTCAAAACTACTCTTAAGCATTTTTCATATGACAGTCTTTGAGATTATTTCTGTGTGACTTGATTAGTGCTGTCTTCCAATCACTAATTCTTTTTGACCAAGTTCAGCCTAGAGTCCCCTTTATTGCTTTTTATTTCAGCAACTATTTTTAAGCTTTCTAATTGTTCACTTTTAATATCCATCTATTTATACCTACTTTTATAATTTTGCCTTCTGTTGCTTATAAAAATATGTCTTCATCTTTCTGAGGACTCTAGCATTCTGAAAGGCTAACCACCCCCAAGCCCTGTACAAAACCTTTATCAGACTGCTTTAAAACTTAATTTAATCTGAAGTGAATTCATGATCCAACTCTTGATTTTTAAAATACTACATTTCTTCATATGTTAAGTTTTATTCTTCAGTTCTTTTACATTTTATCTGTCTTCACTTCTATCTCTCTAGTCTTTTTTGAGTAATTTCCAGTAGGCTTTCTGGCCTTCAGGCAGCATTTGGTTAGTTTTTTATTGTCTACCCCACCCTCTAATCTCCTAATAGAAACAAAGAAATTATACCCTAGCTACTGGGTTTCAAGAAATAAGCCTGACTCCATCAACATCTTGCACTTTTGGTCCCTGTTTTATTTTTTACATTGCAGAGATTTACCTCCTGGGTGATACTGCTGCTTCTAGACTTAAGGCTCTGCCAAACCAGTTTTAGTTCCCACATTCCCTTTACATTTTTGTTCCTTTCCTGGTCCATTGAAATAGCTGTCTTATAAAGCCTGGCTATATCTTTTCGTGTTTGTTTCTCTTTATAATCTATTATTACTATGTGTTTGAAGTAGAAAAGTATGATCAAGTATGACTTACTATGTTGTCCAGACTGTAAGTCCTGAGTAAGTTTTTAATATTTCAAGAGGCCTTTCCTCCACCTTTACAAAAACGAGGTTAAAGATATTAAAAATATTTTAATTATAAGAGATTCAAGTGAAAACACAGTCTTCACCATTCAGCTCTTTACATTACCGAATTGGCTGTAGTTGATTAGAGTGCCTTCTACCAAGCTTTCTTTCTGTCATGTCATAACGGGTCAAAAGTACCAGCAACTTCTCACATGCATAGTGATTGGGCCACTCCATTTTTTCAAGAGTAAATCTCTGTAAATATAATAAAAATAAAACAATATTTTGTTATCTCTTGGAGACAAATAGCACTCCCAGGTGATATTAATAATTTTCCTTTAGAATTAACATTAATTAAAGTAGCATCAATGAGAATATTCTGAGAAAAAAGAATGAGCCTCCTAAGGAAGAATCATTATTAATGAAGAATCATTATTGCATAATGATTAAGAGTGAGGGCTCTCGATTTGAATGCCAGGATGGTATTTCTTAGATGTTGGATAACTTACTTAACCTCTCTTAGCCTCAGTTTTACCATCTATAATGTGAAAATATTATAAACCCAGCTCACAGATTATAAAGATTGAGATTACATGTAATATGTTAAAACAGCAAATTTAAATGTCTAATAACTGTTGGCTGCCATTATCAATGTGGCTGTCACTATTAATACTTGTTAAGTACCCAGCAGTTACAATTTATTGAGCCACTCTGTGTCCCTAGCCACTATATTAGGAGTTATTATAAATAATCTCATTTAATTCTCATGGTGACTTCAAGAGATAAGAATATTTTTTCTATTTTGAGAATAATACATATCTAGGGTTACACAGTAAACGGAATATGGTTCAAATTTAAATTTAGGTCATTAATTTCAGATCTCAATTTTTGGAAAAGAATAACATACTTGATCTTGACATTCTCTGGTTATCAGACCCTCTTCCCCCAAAATATCCCTGGATGTAATATATCCATATATGCTAATTAAGGCATCCTCTAAAATAGCATAACTGTACTTCATCTTACAGTATGCAAAGTATGGCCACTTTATGGGAAATGAGAGATTAGAAATAAACACTGAAAAAATATAAGAGCTGACTGTTTTAATTTTAAACCTCCTTCAGACCAATCAGAGTGAATATCTGTTGCTATCTTTCCAGCATATAACTTCATATGGTAAAGCAAGAATTTATTTTCAGATACCTGAAACAATAACAAATCAGGTCTTTGGTACCTGATAACCTTCACCAATTTATCCTTGTTTAAAAGGAATTCTTGAATAACCTAGCAAGAAAAAAGAAAATAAGAATTGAGACCTAAACTTATAAGAAAGTTTCTGAAATAAGTACAGTTGAATTACTGGATATTACCTCATGGAAGGGAAATCCCTCACAACCACAAGCTTTCCTGAAAAAAAAAATTATATACATGTTATTACTATAATAAGACAATTTTAGACTGTGAAATCATCTCAGCCAATCTCCTCCCATTTGATAAATGTGAATGTACAGTATCGCAAACAATCAAGCTTCTCTTTGAATAACTATTACATTACCATCTCCTGAGTTAGCTAAATTTTTGAAAAGAAATCAGAAAAAACTTTTGTTAAACATGTGACTAATCTAGACACGTGGGGAAAGATTAAGTGGAAATAATTCAACTGAAGACATGTGTATAGGTCATGCCAGGAAAAAGCATAGTTTTTTTTTTTTAAAAAAACTTACTTTTTAATATTGTTCTCTACTTCACTGAGTTGCCTATCATGTTCCGTACGGTGCCACTCACAAGGGCAGCAGTATTCATAATCGTGTGGCTCACAATATTTATCACTTTTACATAATCTGCAACCATTACGTTCATGATCCTTAGGTGAACCTTTATGGAGACCCAAAAAAAAAAGTATAATATGTTTTGCTTCTTAGAATTACTTTCTACATACATTCTTTTTGCCTGTATCCAAATTTTCAAAAATTGATATTGCCTAGCGTACTACCTAGCATATAGAAGGGTTTCAATACATTTAGGTTGAATAGAGTAATAGACACCATAGTAATTCTTGGGCTCAAGCAGATCTTGAGCTATTACTATCACATGACACTTTAGAAAAAATTATTCAAAAATTATTCTTCTATCTGAAAGTGTTTAATTAGACACTTGAAATTGTACATTTACAATAATCAGCAACAGAAAACTTTTAAGTGGAAGCTACATGCAAAATAGTAGAATTATTGGAAAAAAATATTATTTACTTAATAGAACAGCTCTAATAGAATAGTTTCTTTAATGAGTCTATCAAAAGAATATAGCAGTTAATTACCTCTGCTAGTGTCTAGCTCTCAGTTATTTTTAAACTATCCTTGGAACATGAACAAATGATGACTGCGGCACGGGTGTAGAAATTTAATTCCCTTTAAAAGGAAAGTTTGATTACTTTCTACATTGTCTTAAGAATATGGAGGAACATACATACTTGCTATGACCTCAAATTGTCATTTATAAGTTATCAAAAAACTATACAATAGCATCTTATTTATAAAAAACATTTATTTTCTTCCATAATTTTATCTATATTTTAATAATAAAAATATATTTAGACAAATAGATACAGCAGAATTTCTTTTGAAAGACGAGCTAACATGATATCCTAATCTCTTTTGGGAATGAAAGGCCTTTCTCATCCAGTACCTGTTCACCTTTTTTTTTTTTCAAACCAAGACTAATGAAGAAGATCTAAGCTATTTTCAATAATGGTGAACATATATTAGAAATTAGTTTTGTCACTGTCTTCACACACAATTAAAATGCATTGCAGAACAATGAAGAATTATTTAAGTATATAAATATAAATCACAAATATATTAACAAATGGTATCAGTTCTATTTTCCCTTCAGACTTAGTACATATTTTTTTCTTAAAATGGATTTCTATATTGAAAACATAATTTTAAGATCTAAGTAATTTGGCATCATAGTTTGAAACTGTACTTATCCTACATTTGTCATCTACATCACATTACTGCTTTCAATAAACACTTACTGAGTGACTACTATGTAACAAAACTCCTGACTCCAAGAAATTGCCAATCTAGTAGAGAAGACAATGTAAAACCCTTCAAAGTATTATTAATATTGATATGTAAAAAGTACTATGTAAACAAGAATTAAAACATGGGTATCAGATACGAATAACCATTCCCCATGTCTCCTTACCTGGATGAGAACATACAGAACAATGAGCCAGTTTTTTAGTGACTAGCAGTTGTGGACTAGAGTTACAAGATGTTTCATTCCACCGATTAAACCTTTAATAGAAAATGGTTTTTAAAAAAGGAAAAATAATGAGGTCACAAAAATAGTATGTTCTCAAATATTAGGCTGATCTATTCCCTTTCACCTACCTAATTATTTTCCCTTGGGTAGTTGATAAAGTTGCTGGACTACCATGGGAAAATCCTCAGTTACAAGTTTTAAATGTGGCCCCAAGACCCAAGGAGAGAGAGAGAGTATGTCATGTGTTTGTATCTATCTATCTGTATCCCTCTCTCTCTCTCTAATATATATATATCTCCAATCAAACTTTTTAAGAATCTTAAGTTAGGCAGCAATATGTGAGTAGACTGATTTGTAACTATCTCCTTTTGATCTCTTCTCTGTGTGCCAGAATACAAAACAGATATTTCTTTTTTTTTCTTTTTTTTGAGACGGAGTCTCACTCTGTCACCCAGGCTGGAGTGTAATGGTGCAATCTTGGTTCACTGTAATCTCTGCCTCCCAGGTTCAAGCGATTCTCTTGCCTGGATATTTCTTTATATCAGAAAGAAGGGTTAAAGAGTAATATATAAAATTAAACAAAACATTAATCTTCTGGGTGAAAACTGTGTCGAAAAGCTAAATCATCTAAAATGATCAAGAGCAAAACATTACCTGCTTCATAAAAGATTTTAAGAAAACTGTATATTACTATAAAGATTTCTACTAAATAAAAGTTAATTTCATTTTTGGCTAAAGTTCCAGGTTAACATAAAACCACAAAGGGTATGGTTAGGTATTAATCATAAAACATATGAGTTCTGAATTATGTTCCTCTACTTACAAAAGTTGAAGTTTTTATGAAAAGCTAAATTATCTCTTCAGGTCATTGTATAGTATCTGGTTCTTAAGGTTACTATTTAGCTTCTGGAATTTCTAACTCATTTACTACAAAGACCAAATACAAGCCTGTTAAAAATTAGCATTAACTGCTTTCAGATAAAGAATAGCACTCTAAAAATTAAAAATAACTGGGGGGAAAAGTCAGTTTAATAAGATAAAATAATAGATAATTTATAAAAGAAAAGTAATTTTATTATTTTCAAGTGTCAACAGTGCTTATTTGTTGAAACTGTTTCAATAAGAATGGTTTTGAGTTAGCCACATGTTATATTCACTTGTTTTTTCTTTTTTATATTATTTTTTACAATTCTCAAATGATTCCTTAACTCATCCCCATGACAAAGTATACCTTTTCTTTCTTGCTTTGGCACAGTAATAATTAATGTCAATAATAGATTTACTGAAGTCTCAGATTTATCAATAGTTTTACAGATAAAAGAGAAGTCTTATAGGAAAGAGTAGAGTGATTTGACATGTTTTTCATGGTCATTCCTTTTTCATTTTTACCTCTTAGCATTTCTTTTCAGGCACGTGCCATCTTGAACCTGCTGGAGGCTAAGGCTGTTTTTAGTTTCCCAGTATCCTAGTTCCTTTCTTTTGAGTCTATACCGATCATCATTAACATTAATTTTTATAAAGCATTGCTTTCATCAGTAAATATAATTCATGTGTTTTTGATATAGCAAGCGGCATAGGTTGTTAACTTCTATATAATCTGCATCTTGTTCTCAATCCTCAAACTGTAGAGACTAAATGAATTAATGTTATTATTAAATATGTAGCTATAAAGCAAAGGCCAGTCAAGTAAGATTTTGATTAATTACAATATGCCACAGACATTTCATTTATAGAAAAAAAATACAATATCAAAGTATGAAATATAAAATTATTTTAATGTCATGTTTACCTTTACCTGGTAGTAAAACAGTTTAAAATAACCAGTGGCAAAATGCCCATGGTTATAAATAAATGCACTTGACATTGTACTAAATGTGTTTAGTGAGTTAATAAGAGATTTTTAAAAATGCAATATGGTGCCTGGTCACTGTGGCTCATGCCTATAATCCTAAGACTTCAGGAAGCCAAGGCAGGGGGAATCACTTGAGCCCAGGAGTTTGAGACCAGCCTGGGCAACATAGGAAGACCCTATCTCTACAAAAATAAAAATAAAAAATAAAAATTAATATATTAACATGTTGAATATAAATAATATATATTTTAAAAATGCAGTATGGTGGCTGTGCACAGTGGTGCCTATCTGTTGTCCCAGCTACTCAGGAGGCTGAGGTGGGAGGATCGCTTCAGCCCGGCAGGTTGAGGTTGCAGTGAGCAGTAATTGCACCAGTGCACTGCAGCGTGGGTGACACAGTGAGACCTTGTCTCCAAAAAAAGAAAAAAAAATGCAGTATGGCTTAGACCACATATTCTCATTCTTTCTTTGGAAAATTTCAGAATAAATAAAAATAAATTATCTTAAATCAAAATATAAGTCAGTTTAAAAATACAAAACCCTTTTTGGAAAACAATTCTTTTTTGTACTATTCATATTAAGTTCAGCAAGAATACAAGTTCAATGTCACAAGCAAAAGTAATTAATAGTTACCTCTGAAGTAAACTTTGCCCTTTCAAAATCTGTATAAGTTTTAATGCTTGCTCTTTTCCAACTCCCGGGACTCCCTTTCAGAAAGTGGAAAAAAAGTAATTCAAATGTTAATCAATCACCAGGAATGGTTAAATGTACATTAATTGAAAGTAAGACTCTGCAGCTGAAAGAAAGAATGAAGTAACTCTTTTAAGTAAAGACAGGAAAAGATGTGCAAGACACATTGCTATGCATAAAACAAAAATTCCACAATAGTGTATATGATCAGGGTTTGTAAAGTAAATGACAATTACACTGTTATCTACATAAACAAAAAATTCAGAGGTTTATATACCAAACCACTGATGGTGTTCATTTTAGGGAAGGGAGGGTCATAATTTTAGAGGGCTTTCACTTACTATGTTAATTATTCGGATGATATTTTAATTTAACCTAACTTTATGTCTGTAATCAGGAAAAACCCAGTTCATTTAATTACATGAACATTCAATATTCCAAAACCCAGACATAAAGAGAGAACAAAGGAGTGCTCTAAGTTAACTCTTGAAATTAAAAACTTAAGAAAATTCAAAGTGTGAATTTCCAGTATGCAAAAATGATATGCATGAATGTATATTCCCATCACAATTTCTGATTTAAACTGAGTTTTCTAGCCCCTATAAGTATATGAATATGTCCTTATAAGCAGAGCTGCTATTTAGCCAGTACGCACTAGGACTGACACGCTCATGCTAACTGGTTAGTAAACAGCTACTGCCCAAGCATCCTGAGTGTCTACCTGCACAGGAATCTCCCATCTAACCTGAACGCTTCCCAATCCACCTATACCCAGAATCCAGCTACTAAAAAGGGTCTATGGCACAGTAGGCACACCCTACTGTGGAAGAGACAGAAGTCTCTTCCATCTCTATAGCCTATGTCTTTGGCATAAACTTTATTAGATATCTTGACTAACATTCTTTTTGTATTAGCATTAGCTATATCTTAAAGTTTTTAAAGGCAAATCAAGTTAGTACATAGTCTTAAAAATGTTTAAGTAGAACAATGTAAATAGCAATTTTTGTTTAAAAAAAACACAAAAGGTCAATATAACTATGGCTAATGCATAATTTAAACATCACTGTAGCTAAAGTTGGTTTCTGTGAGTTCAAGTCAGCAAATTTTTTCTTAAATACTGGGCTGTTTACAGATTTTAATTATGATATAATTTTACTTAGGAAATAGTCTTCTATTTTAGAAGGAGAATTACAACAAAATAATGGTTTGTGGTATTTAAAAGTTTCTTTCCTCCTGCTTTCTTTTCCTACCAGTTTAAAAAAACTTCTTTGATAATATAAATTATAAATTAGGCTTAATAATTTTACTATCCTGCTATATTTTCCTTTTTCCTGAGCTTAGATTAAAACAAAACAAAACAAAAAAAAAAACTGTCATTCTTCTTTATACTTCTCTTGGGATTAGAAGTAAAATGAGGATCTGTAAGGATACAGAAATAATCAATAGAAACATAATAAGAGAACTACATAGTAAGACCTACAATACCAGTCATTTTATATTTTTAAACGCTGTATTTAAGAAAATGGGATTATTCTCATAATGCTTAACTCATCACTCACCTGTTATACTTATTTGTTACATAGCACTAGATTGTACCTCTTAAGATATAAATAAAATATTTCCATGAACAAAACCCAGCACAATGCTGAGGCATGGAAGTATGAAAGGCTTACCCCAATGATCATGTGATTTAGCATCAGTAATAGCATTGAGCATGTGCACAACTGGAAAGCTACAAAGATTACTGAAAACTAAAAAATAGAAAACAGAGTGAAAGAAACTAACACTAGCATGATACAAGAAAAGAACAACTCCTATATTCATTTAAAAAGATAGTCAAACACATATGTGAATCTCTAATGGTTTACTGAGAGTCAAACTGTGGAACTACTTATTATTCTATTCTTGCTTATAATATTCAGTGTCACAAGTCAACTTTTAGTCCCATCTGAAATGCTGATTATTTTAGACACTTAATAGCTTATTATGCCTAAAATTATATATATATATATATATATATATATATTTTTTTTTTTTTTTTTTTTTTTTTTTTTTTTTTTTTNTGCAACCTCTGCCTCCTGGGTTCAAGCAATTCTTGTGCCTCAGCCTCCTGAGTAGCTGGGATTACAGGCGCCCGCCACCACACCCAGCTAATTTTTGTATTTTTAGTAGAGGCGGGTTTCACCATGTTGGCCAGGCTGGTCTCAAACTCCTGACCTCAGGTAATCCACCGCCTTGGCCTCCCAAAGTGCTGGGATTACAGGAGTGAGCCACCGCACCCAGCCAACCTGACATTATATTTTAAATTTGATTCTTAATCATATAGCTATATCATATTCATATTTACATAGCACATAAAGTATAAAAAACTTTATGAATAGCAAGTAAATATGCCAATTTCAGCTTACCTTTGGGAGATAATCACAGCCAAGAAGTATTGCCAATCCAACCAGAGCATCTCTATCCAAACCTAGTTTACTCTTGATAGATGACATTGTGTAACAGTCAACATGTGGGTCCTAAACAAAGAACAGATTTAATCTTCAAAAAATACATATTTACACATTAAACAACATTATAAAAATAATTTGTTGACGTTCTCTTTAAATGTTTAATTATTCCAGGATGGACGTGGTGGTTCATGCCTATAATCCCAGCACTTAAGAAGCCAAAGCAGCTGGATCACTTGGGGTCAGGAGTTTGGGACCAGCCTGGCCAACATGGTAAAACCCCATCTCTACTAAAAGTACAAAAAAAATTAGCCAGGTGTGGTGACACGTGCTTGTAGTCCCAGCTACTTGGGAGGCTGAGGCATGAGAATTGCTTGAATCCAGGAGGCGGAGGTTGCAGGGAGGTGGAGATTGCAGTGAGCCGAGATCATGACACCACACTCCAACCTGGGCAACAGAGTGAGACTCCATCTCAAAAACAAAAAAGTTTAATTATTCCAAAAAATTTATATAAGAAAATTATCCTGATCAGCAGAATCTTCACAGAATGTGACATTTCAATACATGGAAATAAAGTTGTAGCTTCAAACGTGGCTTAAAAATAATATATTAGTCATTTTTTTCCATTTTATTGCTTTCTGGCATCTAAAAAATATAGATTTCCATCTTACAAAACAAAACATTGTAATAAATATTATAGAAAGTAAACATTCCCTGTAATTGCCCTGCCCAAAGTTAACTATCATTAATAGCTTGGTACATATTCTTCCAAAAAACCACTGTCTTTGATAACTATGTATTAATATTTACTGTTAATTACATTTTTAAGTAAGAATAGAATTATATAAAAATACTATTAAGACATTTTTCACCATTAATATGCCTGGATATCTTTTATGTCAATAATAACCTTTTCAATGACCACATTCTATTACATCATATGGATTCTGAAATAGTGTTTCTCAATGAGGATGCCAATATTAGCATTTTGGGAGAGATAACAGAAATGTCTGGCAGAGGTTTAGTTTGGTTGGCCCCAAGCCTCCAAATATATATAGTCTCTGCCCAAGCCTGAACTGTTACAACCAAAATGTCTGCCAGCAGTATCTCTCCAACTGGGAATCATTAAGTGTAAAGTATTTAATCATGTCCCTATCAATGAGCATTTGGGTTGCTTGCCAAATTTTTGTAATTATTAACAATGCTACACGGAACATCTCTGTATATCTCTCTTTGCATATTTGGAGGTATTTCTAAGGATGAAATACTAAACTGGAAATTCAGGGTCAAAGCAATACATTTTCATATGCAATTCTGTGATGTATTTTTTGAAACTGATTTAGAACCAAGCCATGTGAAGCAAGTCAAGTTCTTATGAGATAAATCCACATTTTGAAGATAATAAACTATGTGGCAATGATTTTTAATAATAGTAAACATTTAGCAATTGCTATGTGCTAGGCATTAGAGTAAGCATTTTACATATATAATTTCACTTAATCAGCCCTTTTAAAAGGTAATTTGTAAACAAATGCTAAACAAGAGAAAGAAAATAAACACCTTTGTATTCATAGTGAAATTCCTGTACACAGTCTGGGCCCCATAGAGGAAAGTATCCCCGTCATTGGTGAGGCAGCCATCTACACAACCAACAGCATTGAGGTAAGCACACATGGCTTCAGCTTCCCCAGCAGCCTGAACCCAGGGGATTCCTAAGCATTCGAGCATATAGAGGCACTGAAAACAAAAAGCAGGTGCAAGATGTTAAAGAATGTTTTCACTGCTAATTTCTTTACCATTTAATGTATTTCTGTATTACAAATATTAATAGCAGCTATTTTGGTGTTTTAAAAATTACAGTATTTAAGAAACACTTGGAAATTTGAACAATGACTGAGTACTTGAGGGCTTTAAAGAATGACTGCCAAACTTTTAGGTGTGATAATAAAAATTATATTCTAGTTATGCTTCTTTTTAAGAATCATCTTTTAGAAAACAGTACTGAAATGCTGAGAATGATACAATATTATGTCTGGGATTTGCTTCAAAATGATGTGTGAGTCAGGAAGTGGGTAGGGGCATAGATGAAACAAGATGAGCCAAGATAATGGTTTAAGATTGGTGATGGGTTACTTTTGTTGATTTAAATTTTTCTGTAATAAAAAATTAAGATTTTAATGTCAATTACAAAGTAATCCATATTCACATTTCATTGTTTTATTAAATGCTATTATCATCAGATTCTGAAAATATCTTTAAATAATAATTAATCACATTAAGATTTACATCTACCAAACTTCAAAAATTTTTCTCATATGATGGTCAATCCGGTATGTGTACTTCCAAAACTAACTAATATGTATAGTTTTGGCTTGAATTTTAAAGTTTGCCTCTTTTTCTCGTCTTGCCTTCCCTGTACAATGAAACTCTCATATTATGGGAAACCGTGGAGCGGTCAGCTGTCAGCGTCTTCCTGGGAAATCAAATGTCTGTGCAAAATGATTACATCATTTTGCTGATGCACAAATAATCTGCTGTGGGTTTCCTTTGGTTTATGATTTTAACCCAGCTAGGTAGCTTGTAGTTTAGCTGTATAGCCTAGTTCATTCTTTCTTATCATACACCGTTCTTTTTTTCATGTATCCTCTATCAGGGAATACTGAGTGTGGAGGACAGAAAAGGCTACTTACTTGTAGTTTCTAGAGACTGACAGAATAAATACCATCTCTTGCTTTGACTGATTAATTGCATCCTTGCCGCGTTGCATAATAAATGCCTCTGCCAGATGTTGCAAAAAGTCAAGGTACTATGTTGAAAATAATACTTTTCAAGACACTGACCCCATGATTTTAGAGACAGTTTTGTTACAGGTGTTGCTTCAACCTTACCTAGGTAAAAAGTAGCCTTTCATACCTAAATACAGTTATTTCAACTTCTTGCACTATTTGCCATTTCAAAGTTTTTCAAAGAACCAGCAAAGAATTTCCTATGAGACTGTTTCAATTTTTCCTACCTTATGTCTCTACCATGTGAGGTGGAGGTGGTATTGGAGGAAGACTAATTTGTGCTTTTCATGCTAATACCTAAAAGATGGCAGTGGATTAGGAGGAAGCAGCGCCTACTAACTGAAGAGTACAGAAAGATAAAAATGACTAATGGGCAACAGTGAACTAAACTAACACAAAATGCCTAAACACCATAATTACTGTAGCAATGAACAGGAATGGAGCAATTTTCTTAAGAAGAGATGGACATCTCTTTTTGTTTGTTTGTTTTATGCTGGTTCTTTAACACCCTAAGATTTGAGGACCATGAATATTTCCAGGAACTGATTATACAAGAAGTAATTAGAACTCAGCACAGATATTTTCTTCAACTGCTGACAGTCATTAAGGTGGAATATTCACTAATTGAAAACTATTTTTAAACATCACATAAGAGTAGAAAATAAAATTTCAGAAGAGGAGAAAAATGACATAATTTTTAACTAAAATAAAAAAACTGATTCAAAGCAAATATGAAAAAGGTTATATTGTTAATAAAGAACTTGCACAAAGAAAAATTAAAAACCTCAAGAAGTAGGACGTGATACCCATTACCCCAAGGGGTATGAAAGTAGGTGAAATGTTTAATGTTACTATTAAAAGACAAATGCATATTAAATATCTTTGTTGTTGCATACTAAATATTACAAAGACAAGCCTCCTAACATCCAATGTTCTTGTGAGTGCACCAAAACTGCTTATCTGACATCTGTATCAGCAGAAATTAATCAGCAAGAGCAATAAAATCATTCCAAAACTTTGCCCCATCAATCCAACTTTGGGTAATTTTATCTAAAATCTCAAATCACAAGAAAACATTACATACACAAAAAATTCTCATCATACTTTCATGGATAGTAGAGAAAAACTAAAAAAGTAAATAACATATACAATCAGGGGTATGATTCATAGCTTCATACATGTTATACAACCATTAAAAGTAATGATTTTGATTAGAATGTGACAACAGGAAGATATGGGTACGAAGCATTAAGTGAAAAGCCCAGGTTAAAAATCACGTGTACTACTACAACTCTTTAAAAATACACACATTTTAAAACAGACAAAAACTGCCTGCTATTGTTTTATATAAGTGATTTCTTTCTTAACTTTTATAAAAATATAAAATCTAGCAATATTAAAAGTAACATATAAATAATAGATTGTAATGTAACAATAATTAATTTTTAAAATCATAAGCCCTAAGGGATGCCAAATATGTATTTTATATATGAACTATCATGAATTCTGAATGAGTGAAGTATGAATTAATGAGATCTCATGTCTTCTAGGAATTCTTTAAGTCCCGCAAGTGTTATAAAAGGTAATATGATCAACTTCCTATATCTACTAGTTGCTTTAGATATACTTTTTGTTTTTATCACATCTCTGCCGAGTATTACTGTTCTCATTTCATAAGTACTACTGTTCTCCTTTCACAAGGTAATATACAAGGTAGAGACAGATTATAAATTTTGCTCAATATCTCAAGAGTTTCTACATTCCAGCGCCAGGATTGAAACTTAGGTCAATTTCACTCTAAAAAATAAACTTTTCTCTATGCACACTGGCCTGCTAGTCACAATAAAAGTAATGAGTATTAAAAATGACAAACTATTAGAGTAAAATGTACCCTTTAATTCAAATCAGAATAATTGAATCAAATCTGAATGCTCACCTCTCTTAAGACTGATTTAAAATGTGATCTCCCTGTTTTCTGAGACCACGATTTTCCAGAAGGGCCATACCGAGTCTGATTCCTCTTGCTTATGACATCAGCTTTCAGCTTCGGTGGTTCCCCTTCCATAACAAACACCAGTTTTACATCCATTTGTGTTAAATATGAGATACGAAAAAATAAGTTCCTGAAATATATAAATTAGTAATACATTAATCATCACACATTGATAGCAAAAGTCAAAATAGTATAACATAAAGGCAAAAACATTAGACTAGTATCAAAAATGTTATATATAATAACCTTTTACTTAGGGTTTTAATTAGAGTGGAAAACCACTGAACTTTTTTTTTCTTTGACAGAGCCTCACTGTCACCCAGGCTGGAGTGCAGTGGCATGATCTCGTCTCAGTGCAGCCTCAACTTCCTGGGCTCAAGCGATCTTCCTGCCTCAGTCCTCAAATAGCAGGGGCAATAGGCAGGTGCCACCATGCCTGACTAATTTTTTGTATGTTTTGTAGAGATGAGGTTTCACCATGTTGCCCAGGCTGATCTTGAACTCCTGAGCTCAAACAATTTGCCCATCTCAGCCTCCCAAAGTGCTAGGAATACAGGTGTGAGCCACTGTACCCAGCCAAAAACACTGAATATTTTTAAGCAATAGAGAGTTATGATTATTCTAATTGCTATGTAGAAAATGGTTTGGGGTGGGAGGCCAAGAGCAAGAAACTAGTGAAGATGACGCTTCAGTAGTATAGATGAGAGATGAGGTTGGCATAGACTGAGGTGGTACCTCTCGACACTGAGATAAGTTTGTGATCACAAAGTATATTTTGGAGGTAGATCTAGCAAAACTTACTTGATGGATTGGTGTGGGAGAAGTAAAATAGGGAGAAAATGTCTCCCAAACCTCTCGCTTTTAGTATCTGAAGCATCCTAGTGGATATATTAAGTAGGAGATAGATATGTGAATCTGGAGCTCAAAGGGTAAGAGGTACAAATATGAGTCCTTAATATAAAGATAGTGAATCTAGACATGTTAAACAGATCTTGAAATCTCAAAATGTAAATGAATAACAACAACAAAAGAAAAAAAGGTGAAACAAAAATCAAGACACTAAGACTGTTCATACACCATACATTTATACTCTAAGAACTTTTACTATACCTGAGGTGGGGCTTCATGACGCTGCCCATCATTTTTTTGACTGTCTGTGCCTCACACACCCAGAGACTCAGATCAACTGCAAGAGTTTGCCCACCAAGATTACGCAAGGGGATGTGTTGCTTAACAGGCTCCAAAATTTGCCACAAGTCATTCACTCCCATTCTGGTGATTATCTGCTGTTACATGAAACACACTTTGTTAAAGAAACAGAAGGTCATTAACAGTTCATTAATTCAAACAATATATTATAAGCCAGTTCAGGATAATTCATAGAGGATTCTCCTTCTTTCATTAGTCAGCTTTTCAAAATGAATCAAGAACACCTGAAACGTTAAAATGGTAACTGCCTTTTTCCCAGCTAAAAACAAGAGCTAACAAACGCAGATATAGGCAGAAAACGCAAGGATGCTGTAAATCATTTTTGTCTACGTGAAAATTCAATCCTTTATTTACATACTTAGAGAATGAGACTAATTCTTCTATCATAACCAGGAAAAACAAAAAACAAAAGCAAGGAAGCATGCAAACAAATGAACTAAAGAAAAATGGGGTGACTGAAGGAAAACTTAGAAAAGTGAGGGGAGATGAAACGAGACAGAAAATGAAGTTGGAGAAATATGGACATAACCTTCTTAAAAGGGCACTGGCTGTTTAAATTGCAAGGTCACATAATCTTCATTGTAGAAAAAGAAAAAAAAAACTTTTACTCCCTTCTAACTTTTAACCACCAAAAGAAAACTAAAGTTAAATATTTTTCCATGTAAATGACATTTTAAAAACAAAATTGGTTTAAACTCTGCTACTGTTATCTGCTTTGGTATTTCCTATAGGCCAGCTTTTCCTTATTATATATCTATATTTGGTTTTCTTTCCATTTGTTAATATTTGGTAAAAATTATGTAGCATGTGCAATGAAAATGCAACCTGACTATACAAATACAACCCAGATTATTAGGACAAGGTAGGACAAGAATACACTAAGTCAAAAGGCTATATCACCTTTATGCAGAAACCTTCTGAATAAACAGTAATGTATTGTCTGTCCCTTTAACAGAGTCTGCTCTAAAAGTAAATTTTCTCAAATTGCACATAGGTACAAACAAAACAAATGCTGGAAGGGTTGCTGTCTGTGACTTATCCTGCTTTTCTGAATCTTAATTTTACAGTGTCGTCAGTGCCACCATGAGTATTGTTATTATTATTTTTTTTGAGACAGAGTCTCGCTCTGTCACCCTGGCTGGAGTGCAGCGACACAGCCTCGGCTCACTGCATCCTCTGCCTCCCAGGTTCAAGTGATCTGCCTGCCTCAGCCTCCCCAAGTGCTGGGATTTCAGGCATAAGCCACTGCACTTAGCCCCACCATAAGTATTATTCTGTATACTCATTTCCATGAAGTGTACAATGACAGCTATGGATGTCACTTTACAGATAAAAATACACAGACTTAAAGGCAAAGAAAGCATTTGGTAGTAACGGTGGCCCACTACTAATATTGTCTATTTCACATCCTGAAGCCCCTAGTTGAATATACCATTGTGGCATAGATTCAGTTACTGTGAAAAGTTGTGGATAATTCTGGAAGAAGAGTGGGGTACATATATTCTCGAAGGCATTATGATAAAGAGAAATGAGACAAATTATTAACCTACCAGAACACATAAAACTCAAAGTTTGAGAAGGAAGTTCTTGATACTTTTGCTTTCCTTTGTGACTTGGGGTGGTTACTGGAATAGATTGCTATTGAAGAAAATTATGTAATTCCTTTGTTCTAATTTCATTTAAATGTGACCCTGACCCTAGCAGTCAAAATTTTAAATGCAGGTTATCTTCTGGTTTAGCAATACCTCTTCCAGGAACTTAAGATGTATTATGTGGTATGTATGGATTTATAAATAGCAATATTCACTGTAGCATTGTTTATAATAGCAAGACCCTGAGAAGAGCCAGGTCTCAATCAATAGAGGACTAATTAAGTAAACTGAATTATGGAATGTTCAAACTAAATTAGATGAAATGGCAAATAAATCAGTAGGATAGAAATATATGTACTGATAAAAAAAACTGATCCAAGTTTTAAAATGAAACAAGTTATATGTTAGGGATGATTACAGTTCAGAGATGTTTTTTTAAAACATATCCCTTTGTGCTGTTTCATTTTTAAAATACCATATGCCTGTATTACTTTTCAAATTAGAAAACAGTTAAAAATAAAGTGACCCTATTTATTAGGAGTTGGAGAAACTAGAAATCTTGTTAGATGGTTTGCTTCTTAGATAAGTATTAAGTGACAATTTTAAATAGAATTCATGGGTGAAATTAAAAAGTATTGTTCTGAAAATTTACAAGTACTTGAATATTAAATACTACTTCAGCATAGCGTTTTGAAGGAAGAGAGATTCACATTTTCTGGTTTCCTTCAGACTGGGTAGTCCTGCGGAATTGGCCAGGGCACATATTTTCTCTGGCAACTCCCAGTTGTAAGGTTCAACATTCTTTTCCTGTCTCTAATGTTTCCTTTTGTAAGTTGACTACACATATACAAATAAATAGTAATGAAGATTGCCACCTAGTACAGTGGTGTTTATGATGCCACATATAAACACACATTTATATATAGGACTGTGATGTCAACTGTATTCCTTCTGAGGGTTATGGTAAAAAAAAAAAAATCAAACAGCAGTAAGGTAGATTCTTGCTTATATACACTGCAGTCCTCTAAGTATTTCAAGTATATTAGGATCATTTTGTAAAGCTTTTAATGAAATAATATTAACTGGGGGCAGCCATATTAAAAAAAAAAAAAATCCAGCACTGATTCGATTATTAGAAACTCCTAAGCAAGATAAAGAGGGCTTTTAATTAATCCCATAAATAGTATCTTTTAATATTACATGATTACTACAGTTAGAACTTAGTTTATATTATTTCTTTTGTCAGAAACAAACCTGGTTTAAATAATGACTGACCATGGTTAATTCCAAAAGAGGAAAATTATGTGAAATGTACATTTTATTAAAAAGAACATCATAATATTTTAAGAATGCGATTAACCCAAAATCTGTTTCCATCATCAACTGTTTTCCATTCCTTATCATATGTTCTTTGCACAAGCTGTTCCTCTGAAGTGATATTAAGCAATGGTTAAGACTGTAAAAGCATAAAACATTCCAAAAAAGCACAGAATGTAATAGCTTTTAAGATAGTAAAGTACAACTACACTGAAGGATAAAACAGATGGTTCTTGCATGAGGTCATAATCATTGTGATGAGGTTACTTGAAAATGGTTCAGCATTAAGTAAAATGTAAAGATACTACACCAGCCATGCATGGTAGCTGATGCCTATAATCCCAGCACTTTGGGAGGCCAAGACAGGTGCATCACTTGAGGCCAGGAGTTCGAGATCAACCTGGCAAAATGGTTAAGACACCACTTCTATAAAAATAAATAAAAATGTAAAATGCTACACCAAGAACTATTTATAATTTCATCTTGCTTTTTAAATACGGTAAAATTTAAAATTTTTTTGGTGTGGGATTTGGTGATTTCCCACTCAAATCTTTTATAACAAATAATTATATTGATGTCAATCTGTTCATACAATCAATATATATATATAGCCTATCAAAAACAGTCTCCTGACATCTTCATAATTTTTTAAGAATTAGTTGTCACACAAGTCTGCTTACATGAATCAATGAAGTCAGAACAACATACAGCAGATGACTTTAAGCTATTAATGGCTTAAATTTATTTAGCTTATTTGAATCAACAAAGTCATTCAAACAACTTTATAAGCAATGGACTTGGGATAGAAAGCCTAGGATTTGAGTCTTGAATACATACCACTGATTAGCTGTATGACCTACGGAGGACATTTAACCTTTCTACAAAATGAGAGATATTAAACCAGATGAATTACAAGATTCTAAGATCTGTAATCTAGTATCTAATATTTGAATCTCATGACTGACAGCATGGAATAACAAAAAAAAAAAAAATCACTCAATTTCAGAAATTATTGCTTGGTATAAAAGAACATAAATTTCCATCTTAAAGAAAGGATTTAATAATCCACTTCCAGTTAAAACAAAAACAAGTCCTTTGATGTAACCATATGGTGCCCATAAATCAATTTAAGTTCCTAAAACTTCCTTAAAAGCTAATAAGCTTTTATTGGTTAATTATAAAACTGAATGAGGTGACAAAAACACAGAACCCTGTTAATTCCACTAATGAATCAAATTTAAAGAACATAAAAAGAGGTCAGTGGCTTAATTGATGCAAAAATACACACTTTATTAAAGCAACAGTTTTGCAATTTACTTCCGCTTTAAGAAAAACATTAGGAAGAAAATTTACTTTAAAAAAGCAGAAAATGCTTAAATTTCCCAATTCCCATTTAGATGACTATAAATTCATATAAAGATTGGTAAATGGTGAAATCTATTTCAGTGCAAGATTATATTTTAAGGGATTTACCATATAATCTCAGTAATCAATGTTGTTCTTTAAAATTATTTTTTCAATTTTATTTTAATATGAATTTAGCCTAAACGCTGAGACATAACATAATTCATGCTTATCATTAATACTTATTAAAGGTCTACTATTTAACAGGAATGCTTGTAGGTGCTGGAGAAACAATAATGGAAGAAGATCAAGCTCTGTATTTAAAGACCTTAGTAGGGTAAGTGAGACTGCAGAAGAAAAGGCATAAAAGGTAAGAAAGCAAGCTATAGTTGTATATAGAAAAAAAGGTCCTCCACTTAGTCTTAGGAATCAAGGAACAACGGTTCCTGAAGGAAGTGACAGGTAAGTAGGGACCTCTCAACTGTATTTCCCATTGGTTACAGCAAGGCCAGATGTTTTGGTCTATTTTGACTGTCATATTTTTCGTTGATCCATGGCAAGGGCCACAATAGAAATATATGTGCGATTACTTTTAAAAATAAAAGGTGACTTTGATGGAAAGAATTCTATTACTGGAGGCCAGAATTTCGACATCAATGGGAGGTGGGGTAAGGTGGCAGTCAATGCATTATTTTCCCCACCTAAAAGAGAAGATTTTGAAGTATGAAAAGTAGGTTATCACCTAGGTCTGTATATTCATGGGAAGGGTTGTGTAAAGACCGAAGGGGTAGTGTGGGGTAGAGAAGGGCGCTGAAACCTAAACCAAGGAAGTAAGATTTCATCACTTCTGACGTTTATTTAGGGGGGTTACACTCTAGGTTACCAAAGGAGGAAAGAACGATTGTAAAACTACAATGCCTTAAGGTAATTACTGTAACATAACCATATCCAAAATATAACGTTAACACGGAAAAGGGAACATTCAAGTGTGCCTATGGGGACCAGGGAGGGCTCGCCCGGAATGCCCTTGAGTGAGGGGTGGGAGTTATCTCCACCGCGTGCCCGGGGGTAGCACAACTGGACGCTGCTGCTTCGGCCGAGCGCGAACGCCCGGCGAACACGCAGCTTTCCCGGGGCGGGGTGACCCGCAGGGTCCGCGCTAGAGGAAGCAGGGGCCAGGTCGCGGCCTGGCGGCTCGGTTCGGATTTCCTACTTTATTCAAAGGGAGTCACTGAAAGTGTTTTCGGAGGAGCAGCGAACAAAGAGCTCGCCCCTAACCGAGACTGTCAAAGGAACCAGTGGGAGAACCGGGGCGGCACCGTCTCTCCAAGTCCCGCGGGACTTACCCGGACAACCCTTCCTCCTCAGCTCTGGAAGAAGCCCCTTCGTCATTTACCAGTTTAGCCTGAATCCTACCAAATTTCTGAATTTTCTCGAAACGAAAAGTCCTCTTTCTTTATCCAAGCAAAGACTAGTGCCTGGGACTCAGCCGCCAGACCGGGGAGCACCAGGAAGCGTTTCAAATCCGGCGCCCGCCCGCGTAGCCCCGCCTCTTCCGGGAAGTGACTGTCCCCTTTCCCCCCACTGGGGCCCGCTCGGCTTTCCCTTCCCGGCTACCAGCCGATCCAGAGGACGCATGCGTGGACCTGTTGCCGGGGGCGCCCAGTTATCTGCCCTTTCTCTTAGGCAAATCACCCGCCTCCCTCTCGTCCGGCCGCTGCGGAGCCGCGCGTGCCTACCAGCTTCCCACCCACCCACCGAGGGACACTTCCGGCCTCTCAGGCTCTAGCGACGTGAAACCTCGGAACTGCGCAGGTGCGGGCAGAGTCCGAAGGGAGGGAGGGCGGAGCGCAGGCGCGGTCAGTCCCGCGTTGGGCGCCGGAGCGCCGGGGCTCCTGCCTTCCCTTGCGGCAGGCGCGCGCTTCCCGGTGGGTCGGCAGTGGTTAGCCGAGGTCGATACGCCCGCAGGGTGGCCTTAGCGTCCGGTCGCACCACGACAGTCCCGCCGATCAGGTTCCTTGGGGAGACTTCGACTTGTTGGCGGTACGATGAAAGCGCACGCTGTCGCTTTCCCTTGCTCCGGGGTTCGTCCTCCACCGGCTGTCCCCTTGGCTGGCGACCCCTAGCCACCTGGGAGAGGCAGGGTCAGCTGAGCTGCAGCGGTGTCCACGGTGGTCCTCGCGGGCCCGGGCGGGAGGTGTCCGTCCCTCGGGCGGGTCGGGCGCCCGGTGGGATCTTCGCGCGCTCTTAGAGGCGGCACCGGTCTCCTAAGCCACGGGAAACTTGGCGTCGGCGCGGGGCCGCTCTTTCCCAGCCGGCCGTCCCCAGACTCCCCGGGGCCGTGGCGAATAACTGGAGTTGGGGAAGAGGTCTGGGGGAAAGCTGGGGTCGGGAATGGCTTTTAGCACGAATCTGATGATACCTCGAAGGTGGCAACTGGTGTGTTTAAAGGCTGTACACAAAGATCACTAAAATCGGATTTGTCATGAAAGCCCAGTTTTACGAAAAGGCAAATTGTATTATTTAGAAAAATTAACAAGTGTTTAAAGGTTTGTTGATGGCATTTCTTTTCCCTAATCTTTTGGAAATGAACCGGGGAAGAATCCCAATTGGGTATTTCGGAAAACAGGACTCTAGGGTAGAGAAAGGGTTGTGGGACCAATAGGGTTTGAGGTAATACTGTGAAACATCTCAGAGCAATCATCTGGTATTTAAGCCCTCAAGACAGAAGTTTTGTGAGTGCTTATTATTCTGCATATTTCATTAGTAGGAGATTAAAAGGCAGTGTTTTAAAGGCAGACTTCTCAGTAATAATATATTTAAAGGAAAAAAGAAAAACCCAAATTCATTTTGGAACCAATTCTGAGGGATTGACTGTACCTAGCTGACAGGATTCTTAAATATGTGGAGAAAAACCCAAATTCCCTGACTTTTAGATGGTTGCTGTGTGATCTTTTAAAGTGTCCAATAGTGTATGCAATGGCATGCAGTTTCATGGGTGTGTGGGTGGGGAGGGAGCATATTTGTACTTCTGTTCAGGTTTACTTTATTTCATTTGATTTCTACGTAAAACATAAGAGTATTTTATGTTGGAATGTGTATTTCAAATTTTCCTTAATGGGTGCAAGTACAGAGCGGTTGGAGACAACTAGTATATTGCTTAAAAACGTATTTATATCACAAAGAATCAGAGTTGTGTGACTGAGCAGGTTGGTACCACCTCTTTAGTTTTAGTTCTTCTTCTGTAAGTTGGAAGGAATAACACAGTTATCAGTGCATCCTCCGTATCTGTGGACTCAATCAAGGGATTGAAACTATTAATTACAGAGGAAAAAAGTGGATGGTTGCACAGACTTTTTTGTTCTCGTCATTATTCCCTAAACAATACAATATAACAATTATTCACATAGCATTTACATTATATTAGGTTATACAAGTAATCTAGAGATAATTTTATGTGGGGAGGTCATACACATATATGACACCGTTTCACATAAGGGACATGAGCATCTGTGAATTTTCGTATCTGAGTGAGAGAGAGGGTCTCTCGTTTTGTAACCAATTTGGAGGGATTGAGTGTACCTGGCTGACAGGATTCTTAAATATGTGGAGACAGAGGAAGAGAAAGTTATGTAGTTACATATTGGCATCTGTCTTCAATCCGTATAAAGCACTTAGTATTGAAAAAAGTATAAATATCATGTTAAAGGTATTACAGTGAAAAACAAGTTTTATTCCCCGAAGGCTTATTTTACTGAATCTGTAGAATTGTATATGAGACCTACCTAAATCTTGACTGTCATTTTTAGACCAAATTTAGGAAAAATAATCAAAGCAGTACTTGGCTTACTTTTAGGAATTAGTAACTCAAAAATTTTACCATGCTAGCTTACATTGTATTTAAGACATAATTAAATGCCACAGTTCTATATACACAACCATAATCCAGCTGACTGAGGATCAAGTGTAGTCGCTTACACATTTTTGATTGACTAGTTAAATAAGTTACATCTTTTCTCACTGAGGATGCTTTTCTTGGTCACTAAATTCAAACTACTGGTAGCTTTCTTAGCTTCACTCCCAAATCCTTCTTTATTGCAGAGTATTCTTTACCACTGACAGGCCTCCTTATCTTAATACCTTAGGAGCGCTTCAAACTCAGTGTTTTCTTTCTCTTTTTTTTTTTTTTTTTTTTTTTTTTTTTTTTTTTTTTTTTTTTTTTTTTTTTTTTGAGACAAAGTTTCCCTCTTGTTGCTGAGGTTGGATTGCAATAGTGCAATCTGGCTCACTGCAACCTTCTCCTCGATTCAAGCAATTCTCCTGCTTCAGCCTCCCAAGTAGCTGGGATTACAGGTGTGTGCCACCACACTTGGCTAACTTTGTATTTTTAGTAGAGACAGGGTTTCACCATGTTGGTCAGACTAGTCTCGAACTCCTGACCTCAGGTGATTCCCTCCACCTCCTCCACTGTCTTGGCCTCCCAAAGTGCTGGGATTACAGGCATGAGCCACTGTGCCCAGCCCAAACTCAGTGTTTTCAAATAAAATAAATATTTTATCCTCCTTCCTTGCCAAACCTGCTCCATCAATTTATAATGACATTTAATATTAAGTGTGAAGATGGAACACAAAATGAAATTTTATAAAGCACACCCAAAGTTTTAGTTTTGATTAATAGTAACATTAGAGGGACACATGATAATAGAATCTTTTCTTTTTTTTTTTTTTTGAGATGGCGTTTCACCCTTGTCACCCAGGCTGGAGGGCAGTGACACGATCTCAGCTCACTGCAACCTCCACCTCCTAGGTTCAAGTGATTCTCCCACCTCAGCCTCCTTAGAAGCTGGGATTACAGGCGTGTGCCACCACGCCCAGCTAATTTTTTTGTTTTTTTAGTTGAGAGGGGGTTTCACCACGTTGTCCAGGCTGGTCTTGAACTCCTTAGCCCACCTCCCAAAGCACTGGGATCACAGGCATAAGCCACCACACCCAGCCAATAATAGAATGTTTTTTTAAGTTTAATGAAGGATAGACAAGATAAAGGACAGATTAATAGCCAATTTCACTGTCTATGAATAATTAAACTGTCAAACTTGCCAGTAGGAACCTGGGCATTAAAGAGGTTTAACTGGGTTTTGACAAAGCTGGATTTGGATCAGGGCTCTGCTATGTTAGAGCTATAGAAGCCTTTGTATGTTAGAACTAAGTTGCAGCTATGTAAATTCAAGTCGCTTACTTGTGACTCAGTCTCTCCTTTTGTAAAAATAAGGGCAATATTTATCTCGTAAAGATGTTGACGATCAAAGGAAATAGAAAGTTCTAATCTCAAAAGCTAAGTATATAGTTATTCAACAAATGTTAATTCTACTCACCCATTTGTACTCACCAATTTTACTCAGTCTTTTGAATCTCTTGGTTTTTATCTCTTCCCTTTGTCTCTGATTACCACTGCATCCTTTAGAAACTGATCTCTTCTGCCATTCTTTCAGTTTCATCTGTCTTCTATATTGAGCCATAGGGATGTTTTCAAAACACAAATCTGTTCAGATTTTATTAACTGAAATGTTGGGCTTTATACTTCCCAGTTTTGCTGATCCTGAAATTTCGAATGGATAGATTCATGAATTTTTTCACTTAAGTATTTATACTATTTATTGTCTAGTTAGTCTCATATGATTTCATGATACATTCCAAACAATGTAATTAAGCACATTAAAAATGAGGTTGTTTACTGTGGAATAAATGTCTGTTGTGGTAGGCAGAGTAGAATTGAGGATGAGGTAAACACAGTCCAGGGCAGATTCAGAAGTAACAGTAATTTTGCCTTTTTAAAAAAATAATAGGCCGGGCGCGGTGGCTCAAGCCTGTAATCCCAGCACTTTGGGAGGCCGAGGCGGGTGGATCACGAGGTCAAGAGATCAAGACCATCCTGGTCAACATGGTGAAACCCCATCTCTACTAAAAATACAAAAAATTAGCTGGGCATGTTGGTGCGTGCCTGTAATCCCAGCTACTCAGGAGGCTGAGGCAGGAGAATTGCCTGAACCCAGGAGGCGGAGGTTGCGGTGAGCCGAGATCGCGCCATTGCACTCCAGCCTGGGTAACAAGAGTGAAACTCTGTCTCAAAAAAAAAAATAATAATAATAATAATAACACTGTTTTCTATGAGGTAATTCTAATTCTGTTATGTGTGCCACTACTCTTAGTCCCCAATTTGGTAATAATGGGAAGTATGAATTATTAGATACTTAATAAAAATTAAAAGAATTCTGTTAAAACGCATATGATCTCTATCAAATTTCCTATGTATCTACATGCTATAATGAACTCTTGGTTATTAATTTTTCTTCATTTTTATTTTTATTTTTTGAGATGGAGCCTTGCTCTGTCGCCCAGGATGGAGTGCAGTGGCGCGATCTCTGCTCACTGCAACCTCTGCCTCTGGGTTCAAGTGATTCTTCTGCCTCCGCCTCCCGAGTACCTGGGAGTATAAGTGCACACCACCATGCCCGGCTAATTTTTGTATTTTTAGTAGAGACGAGATTTCACCATATCGGCAAGGCTGGTCTCAAACTCCTAACCTTGTGACCTGTCCGCCTCGGCTTCTCAAAGTGTTGGGATTACAGCT